GAGCCACCATCCCAGCTTTGGAGGCTCTTGAGAGTAAAGTAATTTACTTGCTAAACTTTAAGGTCCAGTGAAATAACTCTTGTGGTTTATTGATGTTCTTCATTCTTGCTCTCGGTAAGTTTTGTTTTTGGTTTTCTTTTTGGCTGCTCCTCTGGGAAATAACTGAGAATGTTTTTGGGAGGAAGAGGGCCAGATTTCAGAAAAGGATAGAAATTGGAGGACAGCTGGCCCTCCAGGTTAAATACTTAAAGATTGTTAGAATACTCACTTATTTTTATAACTGGGCATGGAGATATTGGGATGGGAGCATGTTGTCTTCCTCGGTCACCTTTTACTAGGTAGATATTTCCTCTGCTCAGTTTGTCAGCAGCTTCTCATTATCTATCCAAGTGAGATGGACTGGCTGGTTGACTATGACTGGTGACACTTTCTCATCTCCTCTGTTCTGGAGACCAGATAGCTTTAAAGGAGAAGACAGAGGCCAGCCAGAGGAACTGACCATGTGTTGAGCTGCAGAGTCATAGGCTCAACAGTTAAATATGGACATCTTAGGAGTAGTTCTAAGGTGGGTGATTGCTGCCCCCCATCATACCTCTTTTTTTTTTTTTTTGAGATAGGGACTCACTCTGTCGTCCAGCCTGGAGTGCAGTTGCATGATCTCTGCTCACTGTAACCTCCACCTCCCAGGCTCAAGTGATTCTCCTGCCTCAGCCTCCTGAGTAGCTGGGATTACAGGTGCCCACCACCACACCCAGCTTTCTTTTTTTTTTTCCATTTTCAGTAGAGACGGGGTTTCACCATGTTGGCCAGGCTGGTTTCGAACTCCTGACCTCAAGTGATCTGCTTACCTCAGCCTCCCAAAGTGCTGAGATTACAGGCATGAGCTACTGCGCCCTGCCTGGGGTGATGTTTTTTAAGCTACTCTCACTCAGAGCCTGCCAAATTTGCTTCTTGAGCTGAGGTCTAGTGAGGAAGTCCTCAGAATGGGGAAGTAGGGTGATAGTTAAATATTGATGAAACCATTATCTTCCACTCCCCAGCCTGAAGAAGCTTAATCTTTTGACTTTCTGCTCTAGAGAACTTTGAACCCCTACTGAGGAGGAGACACCTGTTGGAAGGGGGATGGGGTGCTTGGGCTACCTGTTACCATCCTAAGGCATTCTGGAATGTGGGTTCTGCAGGCTCCTCCCTCCTCTGGAGCTGGAAACTGCAGTCTCTGATGGTATCAAATGCTGTTAGTGGGACTGTCGCTTAATTATTTTCTTGGTTACTTTGTGTGAACATCCAAGCCTCCTTTGTTGGGAAGCTAGATGAGTCCCAAACTGAGACACTGGTGTTCTAGGATCTAGCTTTCGTTTCTGCTTTTGGCCTGGAAATTGATCTTTTATAGTGTAGCACCTTGTCAAATTCACTTTCAGTTCTGCATTTCCTTTGTACTTCTGTCTAAATGGAAACAGATGGCAACATCAAATTTAAATGCAGTCTTTTTCCTTATCTGTTTTTTCTTTCGTGGTAGTGGTGGTAAAAATATACATAAAATTTATCATTGTAACCATTTATAAATGTACATTTCACCTTATCTGTTTTTAATACCTCTCTCCTAATTGTCCCTGATATTTTTCTCTTTTTAAACTTTTTTCTAGTCTAAGAAGCTTAACAGGCCGGGTTGGGTGGCTCACGCCTGTAATCCCAGCACTTTGGGAGGCCAAGGTGGGTGGATCACATGAGGCCAGGAGTTTGAGACCAGCTTGGCCAACATGGTGAAACCCCATCCCTACTAAAAATACAAAAAATTGGCTGAGCATGGTGGCGCATGCGTGTAACCTCAGCTACTTGGAGGGTGAGGCATGAGAATTGCTTTAACCCTGGAGGCGGAGGTTGCAGTGAGCTGGGATCAGATCATGCCACTGTACTCCATCCTGGGCAACAGAATGAGATGATCATGCTACTGCACTCCAGCCTGGGCAACAGAGTGAGACTCTGTCTCAGAAAAAATAAATAAGTAAAAATAAATAAATAATAGGGAGTGGGCTTTGAACAGCAATTTTGATTCTGGCCTTAATCCTGATCCTAGTTTCTGGAGAGGTTAGAGTGTTTGATTATTATGTGGTTCTCTTCTATTCTTGGGTGTGTGGACTAAGCAATAGGCTTTACCACCTTTCTTTAGTCGTTTTGCTTTTTTGCTTTTCTGCTGCTTACCTTTCTCTTTCCCCCATGCTAGAACGAACGAAAACAGCCCTTTACCCCCGCTTAGGCTCCGCCTTTGTTTACTCTGGGGCAGATAGGTCCACTCCCTTCCGACTTGCCTCCCTTTTGGTGAAGTTTAAATTCCCCAAGGACACGTTATCTCCCTGGGTAGATGCAGTTGTGAGCACAGTGAACTCAAGTAGTCCTTTACTCACAGGGCTCAAGCCTAACTTTCTAATACTCTTTCATTTGAATTTCATCTGTGGCTTTTATCTAAAAAGAGAAACCCCAGTGTCGCAGAGCACCAGATATAGGCTAATCCCCTTCTGTCCTTGGCCCTGTTCTGCCTGTGAGCACCATCACACTGTCAATTTCTTGCCTGGAGGGGTTGACATATATGGGAAATCTCTTTGCTGTCCTAGGAGGATAGCCGAAGCTGTTGTCAGCCATCTTCTAATGTGACTGAATTGCTGCATTCTACTCCTCTCTCCATCCCCCACCCAGGATCTTTTCTTCCTGGGCAGTGGAGATTCCTATTATTACCTGAAGCGGGGGACCACAGGATACTGTATATCCTCCAAGCTGGGCAGAGATAAATCAGCTGAAACACCAAACCCACATCTGGATTGGCATGCTAAGACCTAGGATGATTAGGAAAGTGCAGTGCTCAACGTTTCCCAGGGCCACAGGTAGCCTGGTTTGCAAAAAGTAGGCCTGTTCAATCTCTTGGCATTCCTTGGTATTATTTGACCTGAAAGGGACAGGCATTGTGCATAGACTCTAGCTTGAGGGAAAAGTCAGCTTGTCTTCCTTGTTCTTCAAACAAAGTATTGGATCTTGATTCTGCAGGCTTTTGTTTAATTGTAAAGAGAACTGATTCTCTGGGCTAGGAGGAAAGAGAAAGGCGAAGTCCTATTCCCTCCCACCCCACCCCTGGGGGTCTCTGAAGCTTTTGCTAGAATTCCTGTCTTGGGTTCTGCTTTTGCTACAGGCTTGTTCATGTGTTCATGCTCTTAATAGGGCACCAAGATGTGTTTTCTCCTTTTCCCTTTTCAGCCTTGCTAAGAATTCTATTGTAAATGCTGATTTGTGGGAGAAACTGCCCGAGCCAGCTTGCTGTCATGGAAACTGTACACCCCCGCCCCATAGCCTGTTATCTTCTACTCCAGTTTGGTGAGCTGAATGATGCCTTACATTTCATGAGCTGCTTCTAAATCTAGTTGCATTTTTCATTTGAGGGGGGTAAGTCATTTTATTGGCAGTGTCTTATAGTTCTTGCCTGAGAGCCTCCTGACTTGCTCTTGATCTGTGGCCTTGTTGGGTTTGTGAGGAGAAATGTGTGTTGTCACAGAGGACATCTGTTTTTCTGGAAGAGACAGAAGCAGAGAATACTTGTCTTTGTGGTGTTTTGAATAGTGTAGTTAGACACAAATGGTTTCTTCGTGATTTCAGCTTATGTTGATTTCTCGATTTTCTTTTCCTGTAGCCTGGTGGCTAGATTGTAGCCCCAGCCCTCTGCTTCCCTTCCTAGTCTCTTCAACCTCTCATATTTGTATGTGGAAGTTTTTGTGTCAATCTTGATTGTTAAAAGGAGTCTTTTGGTCTATATTCTTCCTTGTCGGAGCTAGTGGCCCAGGCTATTTCTATGGCTGCCCCAAGTCTTGCCTGCCAGGAAGAAATCAGGGTAATAGAATTCAGGCACAATCTGGGCTATAGAAGAGAGATCATGTTTACTAGGCACTTGGATAAGCATCTGAACTGGGTGGTGTGCGGGGCATGTTAAATTCTTAAATATTGTTGCCGTCAGGGTACCTCCCACCAGTAAAGGTAGCAGGGAGACAGTCATGGAAAGAGGTTTTCCTGCTTTAGAATTCATTCATCCACCTTCAGGCTGCCTTCTTCTTTTCGTGCCTTATTCCATTGCTAGGGAAAGTAAACTCATCCAAGCATGGGTTTACTTGGACTCTAGTCTATACTTCATTGTGAGATGAAGGGCAGGAAGAAGATTGTCGTAGGCTGTATTAGTTAGGGGGTAAAGCTAAGGGGATGGCTGGAGGAATAGAAAGGAGACAATTCAGAAATTTAGAGGAATGGTAGTGGGTGTGGTAAAATGTTCTCTTTTTTTTTTTCTTTTTTGTAATGCTGTCAAAGCAGATAATTTTAGCTAGAAGTAGCTCCTTGCTGCCAACTTTAAAAAGGAGTAGGGGGCTCAAGTTGAAGGGATAATGAGTAGGTATCCCAACAAAGTTCCATTCTTTTGCTTTCCAGTCTGGAAGGCTATTCTAAAATACATTCCCTTGGCTAGTTAGTCTTTTGATATATTAGGGTAAAGTGATCAGAGAAATAACAGTTTAAGTTAAACAGCAATTGATAGGTAATCCAGGATTCCCTCTTTAATAAACCTTGCTTATTTATTTCTTTCTGCTTTATGAGACACTTAGAAGGTTACTGAGGATGAGACACACCGCCAAGAGAGCTCAGGCAGAAGGAACCCTTCATTGCCTTGCTTTTCTGACTCCAGTATGTTTAGGAATTTGAACTAAGTCCAGGAAGTGGGTGGTACTAACTCATTGGGCTGGGCAAGGAACTGAGTTTTAAAACACTCTTCCTGTGGAACATATGGGAGTTCGTTGATGGGAAAGGGAGGAGATATATATATATAAAGTTATGTCTGCTAGATGTTTTAACAGCTGAGCTAAGACAAGTTCTACCCTGTGAGACTCTGGCATTTTTATGGTAGTCAATCTCGATCTTACTGTTCTTCTTTTCACCATGCCTCTGCTTCTCTTTTCCATTCTTTCCTTCAAATGCAGGCTGAGGCTGAGGTGGCCTCCTTGAACCGTAGGATCCAGCTGGTTGAAGAGGAGCTGGACTGTGCTCAGGAGCGCCTGGCCACTGCCCTGCAAAAGCTGGAAGAAGCTGAAAAAGCTGCTGATGAGAGTGAGAGGTGTGTAGGGAAGCTTGATGGAGTGTGGATTTTTTTTTTTTTTTTTTTTTTTTGAGATGGAGTCTTGCTCTGTTGCCAGGCTGGAGTCTCGCTCTGTTGCCAGGCTGGAGGATAGTGGTGCGATCTCGGCTCACTGCAACGTCCATCTCCCAGATTCAAGCAATTCTGCATCAGCCTCCTGAGTAGCTGAGACCACAGGCGTGTGCCACCACACCCAGATAATTTTTGTATTTTTAGTAGAGATGGGGTTTCAGCATGTTGGCCAGGATCTCTTGACCTGTGCTTTCTGCCTTGGCCTCCCAAAGTGCTGGGATTACAGGCGTGAGCCACTGCACTGAGCTGGAATGTGTATTTTAAAAAGAAGTTCATAATAGTTCTGATCAAGATTTCCTTATAAACCTGTTTTTTAAATAGTATTTCTGGCCGTGTGTGGTGGCTCATGCCTGTAATCCCAGCACTTTGGGAGGCTGAGGCAGGAGGATCACTCAAGCCCAGGAAGTCGGTGCTGCCGCAAGCTGTGATTGCGCTACTGCACTCCTGGGTGACAGAGCAAGACCCTGACTCAATCAATCAATAAAAATAAAATACTAACTCCATCATACAGGATCTCCTTTCTGTTCTGCATATTCTCTCCCCTTGAAGACAGAGTAAGGATAACCTAGATGCTGTGACCCTTTTGTAATTGGTATTTCCCTACAAATTGCCCTAATGATCCTTAAAATGGGATCACCAGTACGACTTCCACTTTCTGGGTCATAAACTTCTATTCGTGAGATTAATTCCTCTAAAACAGAGGCTCTCTAAGTAAGGTCTCAGACCAGCAGCATTAGCAATACCTGGGAACTTGGTAGAAATTCACATTCTCAGTACCAACCCTGATCTACTAAATCAGGAACTCTGGATGTGAGGCCTGGCAGTCTGTTTTTAGTAAGGCTTCTCAACCCTGGTTGCATTATTAGAATCATAGGTGGAGGGAAAAAAAAATTGAAAAAAAAATCATAGGTGGGGGTGAGGGCGGAATCACTGGGGAGTTTAAAACTGCAGATGCTTAGATCTCATCCCAGTTCCATTAGAATCAGTTGCAAGAGTGGTCTGGGCATTGATGTTTTGGAAGTTCCTCATCTAATTTTAATGTGATCCTAGGGTTGAGAACCATGGACCTTGAACCAATTCACAACTCCTCATCATCTTTTTAAAATAGTCAGTTGTCTCCTTGCTACATGTGAGTTAGATTAAAACAGAGGTATTTGACAACTAAGGCTTTTCAGAATAAATAGTGCCCTGCTAAAGGTACATTACCATTGTGCAGCTGTAAAAATGAAAGCGGCAGCTATGTGTATACTATTACAGTAACGTCCAAATTATAGAAAGTGAGGACTGGGCATAGTGTCTCACACCTGTAATCCCAGCACTTTGGGAGGCTGAGTTCGGCGATCCCTTGAGGCCAGGAGTTCAAGACCAGCCTGGCCAACACAGCAAAATCCTGTCTCTACTAAATGTACAAAAATTAGCCGGGCATGGTGGCACACTCCTGTAATCTCAACTACTCAGGAGGCTGAGGCACAAGAATCACTTGAACCCAAGAGGCGGAGATTGTAACGAGCCTTCCTCAAAAA